GGGCTGCACCTCGGCCACCGCTCATCCCACGCGTGTCCGCGTCCTGCGTGGGGGGGGTGTCACAGAGCCTTCTGCCCGGTTTGAAGGCTTTCACCCCCAGTTCCCTCCCTTCCCTCTCCCCCCCCCGGTGGATTAACGGGGGGTGGGGGGGTAGGTGTCGGGCTGGTTGCGGGGTGCAGCCCCTCACCCCAAAAAAACCCAAAACGTCCTTCCCAGCCCGGCCTGTTCCTGCCTGTACCAGCGGTAGGGTTGAATCCCCGGGCGATGCGGCGGGCTGAGCCGCTCGTACCTGAGTTGAGGCTGCCTTCCTTCAAACTGGGAGAGTTCAAATAATCCTCTTTGCAAACAAATTTGTTTTCGTCTATGATATAGAGTTCCTCGCCCGTGGAGAGCTGCTTGTTGCAGACCATGCAGGTGAAACAGTTCAGGTGAAAGACTTTATTCCGGGCTTTCCGGACGAGGTCGCTGGGGGAGATGCCTTGGGAGCAGCCGGCGCATTTGGTACCAAACCTCCTGGAAAGGGGGAAGAAAGCGAGAGCTGGAAGCCCCGGCGGTGATGGGCTGCGGTGGGGGGGATGCTTTATATCGATTTTCCCCCTCCCCTCCTCAAAATCCCACTGCGGGAGCCCTGTCCTCCAGCATCTCTCGTTGGGAGATTTGGGGGAGCAGGCGATTCGCACCCCCTGCCTCTTTGCGGGGAGGAGGAGGAGGAAAGCCTTCAGCCCCGCGCAGCCCCCCGCTCGCAGGCGCGGGGTGGGCTGCGGGAAAGAGCTCGGGTTTGGGGTGTCCCCACCCGGGGCGGGGACACACACACATGAGCATCTTCGACAGGATTTGGCCTCCGAAGGGCCAGAGGGGAGAGCGGCGGGGGGGGGTGGATTTCGTTTCAGCCGCTGCCTCCCGGGCTGGGAACGGGGAGCTCGGCTCCACCCGGTACCGGCCTGAAAATCCCGGCGAGAAAAAGGGGTTAATTACGGCCAGAAAGAGGGAAAAAGGGAGCGGAGGGTGCCCGGGGGTGGGGGGGGGCACAGCGCACCCCGAACAACACCGGGCGGCGGAGGAGGGAGCTCCGCTCCCCGAAGCATCCCGGGGGCCCCAGCCCGGCGCCGGCACCGTCCCGCTCTCCCGAAGGGGGATTTTTTTTTTCCTTGTCGGGAAGAGCGCTTTGGAAATCTCCAATTTGCCTTCCCTTCGCTGGAGGCGGAGCGGTTGTTT